AATAGGGGTTTAAGATACAATTTGAGGGGATTCAAAATGGAGTCTCACCAATAAGCACTGAGTTTTTTTCCCTCTGGCATCTAAGAACTTTAAGAACTAGGTACAACAGTTTGAATTGAGATTTTTGGCGCTCTGAACAGCTCACTGATCCAGATTGCACCAAACACAGAAGAGCAGAATTGGAGGGAAGGCACAGGGAGATTTTTTAGGAAAGAGCTACTGCCAGAAGAGGAATGGGCACCTAAGAGAGACCACTGGAAACCTTTCTGGGGCAGTCACTGTCTGCCGGGTAGAGGTGGCAGCCTGAGAGACCTGAGCCAAGAACGAGATGAATTATAGCAGCTTACCAGTGACCAATACAATATTCCAGCGGGCAGCGGCAAATACCCCTCTCCAACGGCTGATTTTGTCAGTAATTTGGGAGGGGAGGGGGCAGCAGGACACAGACACCATTGCTGAGACTCAGGTGGAGATCTCACTGGTGTGCCAGAAAGGCTAACTCCCTCCCCTCCCAGCAGATTACAGAGCGGGTTTGGGTCAGACTGAGAGACACTGTGCTTTTCTTTCCCACGGTTATCGGGACTGCAGATCACTGGCAGTTACTCCGCCGAATCTACCACAGCTAAAACTGCGTGCACCTTTGGCGCCACAGGTGGGCAGTATTGCAAACTCCAGAGCCAACCGCTGCTGGTCAGGCGGGATTGAGTTACCACCGCGGGCAGACGGGGCACGGAGAGCAGAAAAACCGCAGCTGAGCACACTCACTTGAATTCTGCCCTAGAGCCATGCTTTGGCGCTGTGGGGCCACGGAGGCAGGGGCTTTGAGTGTGCATGAAATTGGCAGAAATTTGTGACCCTCTAATAATACGAATCTTTCCTGAGATTGAGCTGCGGTCTTGCAAATAAATACATCATAAGTAAGAGTCTGCTCAGGCACTCCCCTGAGTCCAACACACCTGAAATTGTGTACATCTTTGGCGCTGCAGGTGGGCAGTATCACAAACTCCAGAGCCGACCATTACCGGTAAGGCGGGATTGCATTACCACCACAGGCAGACAGGGCACGGAGAGCAGAAAAATTGCAGCTGAGCGAGCTCACTCAAATTTTGCCCTGGAGTCATGCTTTAGCGCTGTGGGGCCATGAAGGTGGGGGCTTTGAGCGTGCATGAAATTGGGAGAAATTTGTGACCCTCTAATAATATGAACCTTTCCTGAGATTGAATTGCAATCTTGCAAATAAATACATCATTAGTAAGACCCTGCTTAGGTACTCCCCCAAGTCCAACACACCTGAAATTGTGCACATCTTTGGTGCTGCAGGTGGCCGGAATCACAGACAAACTCCAAAGCCGGACATTGGCGGTCTGGCTGGATTGAGTCAGCACCGCGAGCAGAAGGGGCACAGAGAACAAAGAAACTGCAGCTGAGCCCGGTTCCCAAATTTTGCCTTGGAGCCACGTTTTGGCACTATGGGGCCGCGGAGGCGGGGTCTTTAAGTGTGCCTGAAATTAGCAGAAATTTGTGACCCTCTAACTAGAGGAATTTTTTCCTGAGGTCAAGCCACAATCTTGCAAATAAATACGTCATCAATAATACCCAGCTCAAAGCCCTAGAAACTGACCCTAGCAACACTAAGCTTTCCTTCTTCTGCTCCCACCTTCTCTGCCAATAACTTCACTCATTCAA